CTCGAGTCCGGGAAGAATCCCAACGAAATGAAGGATGACGTGTGCGGACCCGCCGGACCCGCCATTTACGGCATCCATGTGCTCGACAAAGCAGACGTCACCTCAGGAGTGGCCGCCGCTGTCGAGGCCGCGCACAAGACGGCCGCAGAACTGGCCAAAGATGGCGAGCAATAAGGGACACAAGACTTACAAGACTTCCAAAGCATTTATAGACCAGATTTCCACACTTTTCTCAGTCTTTCCCTTATTTTTCAATTAAATTCTCAGAATATTTGTTCGAAAAAAACATTAAAAACTTGATTATTGTATCAATTCTTGTAGTTTTCATTTCATTTCACTTAATATGTCCTCAAAATTGTATTCAAGATATTAAATGTTTGCTTCATTTCTATGTCTAATCGTTTCTTTCATTTGATTGCCATTACTTGTACTGTAGATACAAATGCTATGTAATCGTTGCATTAAATTGTCCATTGATTTGGGTTTTAAAACATTTTATACTTTAAATTAAGACCAAATTAATTCATATTTTAATTGATTTGAATGAATAGTGAATAGATTGGTGAATTGAACGGCAAATGATTACAATTTATGACAGTTTAGTGACTTATAAGAAATGAATGAATATTGCAAATATTTGTTAAAAATCTTGATTTATTGGTAATAATTATCATTTATTTCTTGAAAACACAAAACAAAAAGAAATAATAAATATTTGAAATGATTTGTACTTCAATTGAATGTTTTATACAAAATAACAAAATTAAGCGCAAAGTGTAACTCAATATAAGAAAGTAGTGGTTAATAGGGTTGAGTGAGAACGGACTCGTCCTCACTGTCATCGATGATCGCATCGTCAAACCAAGAGGAACAGGATGTGGACGTCTCGTTGGCCAGAATGGCTGAGGAGGCATTGCTCGGAGGCATGGCATCCACAGACAGACTGTTACTGTTGACACTATGCCAGCGACTGTTGGTTTGGCCGCTCTGTCCGTGTGCTGTCAAGTGGTGTGATTTGGAGACATGTCCGCCGTGTGCGTCCTTCTTCAGCCGCTTCTCTTTGGCCCTTCGGTTTTGAAACCAAACCTTTGGGTCAAATATTTCCAGTTTTGTGGTTAATACTAATAAACAAAGCATTCACTCATTGTATAATATTCACCTGAACCACTCTCATATCAAGTCCCGTGTCGTGACTCAGTTGTTCCCTTACATGTCGGGCCGGTTTGGGAGAGTTATTGTAAGCAATTTTCAGTGTTTCCAATTGCTTTGCTGTGATTGTAGTCCGAGGCCTCTTAGACGACGATTCTGTGAATTTTAGTTTGAATTGTATTCATTTAAACACATTAGTTAAACATGAGTGTCAGTCTTCTTAATTTGACTTATGTCACGTTAAATATATTTTTAACAAAATAATCTATTGAGTTTATATTAATACTGATATTTATTGATATTTAATAATTTAATATGTTGTATTTCCTGGTACAATAAACATACCCGTTATATACTTTGTAATAACAAAAACAAGAATTGTAGATTCCAAAAATATTTCATTCTCAATTCTGTTACTTTTAAAATTGATTTCTTATTTTATAATTTATATAGAAATAAAACTACGAAAACTTTTACAATGACAGGTTTAGATTAGCACAATAAGTCTCATACTGTATATGATCATTTATATCTAACAGTAATTCTTTTATTTTACAAAAGATTCTAACCTAGTAATAAAAAATGTTTGCTTTATTACCAAAAAATTTGTATTCATACCATATAATCTTTGTTAGATTAAGTCAGCATACTATATATACTGTATTAAGTTTGATTTAATTCTACAATTTTCATTAAACATTAAATACAGAATTTGTAATGCATTTGAATGTTTATAAATTTAACTTATAAATTATAAGTTTACTATATATTAATATTATATTAAAGGTAAAAATTTTGTTTTTACTGTCTATAACAAAATTTGTAATGATAAATATTTATAGATAAAATATAAAAATAGATATTATAGATTTCATGCAATGTAAGTGAAGGTATATTTAGAAAAGTTATGAATTCTGGGTGTCTAATGCATAAGACACTCACCACTTATGCCTTACCTCGTTGCTTTGCTGATTCATAGTCTGTCTTACAAACCAATTTGTTGTCTTCCATTAAATAAAATTCATCGCCTAAACAGTCAATTCAGACACTGGTTATTAAGACTATAAAATCTTCATACAATATTTTATGTATCTTTAGCATTAGAATTAATTTTAAATTTATGAATTAAATCTAAATACAACCAAGTTAGTTTAAAGTATATTTATTATGTATTCTTATATTATATTAAATTATATGCAATACTTGTTATAATTATAAATCAATTTAATAATGAAAGAGACGAACCGGTATTTAAAGCTCTTTTACAAAGAATGCAATTAAAGCAATGCATGTGATATACGTTATCCTGAGCTCGTCTTACTATAGCTGTCGGCGCTATTCCTATAAAATAACAAATGTTAGTAAAAACTCAATGTTTGAGAATACAAAGCTAGTAAGTATATTAATACTACTCTGTACTTTATACTACACAACATTACCTAGTTCACAGTTTGCACATTTGGTTTTGGCAAATCTTTTATAGAAGTCGTCCTTACAATAGGGCTGTCCGTTTCGCATATAGCACTTCACTGTTAGACTCGAATGACACTCACAGCACACTAAACATCCTTTAGAGACCAATATTTGGCAATTAATTTAATTAGTTTTGTGACAAACAGTGGGTACCTGAGTGCCAACATGTATGTCTATCGTTGTCGTGGCCTAACTTTAGTATAAATCTATCGAATATAATGCCATCGCATCCGTTACATCGCGGGAGGGTATCTGAAATGACATACATTTCCTTCAATTCTTTTGTAATCTTAAATTAAAATCATGAACTCATCATTCATTTCTTATTTAAAACAGTTACAGAATTTTGCATTTAATAACAAATTCAAAAATTCAATAACTTATAGACTATTAAAGTGAATGATTAGTATCCATATAAATTGATACAATAAATTAATATAAATGGATCGTTTATTTATGCACTTATACTTTCACAACATATTTGTGTAGTTTAATCATTAGAATAAATGTATAAGTTTTGTGCATTTTTTCAATTGTTTTGTTTTGATATTTAAAATAATGTATAATATATGAAAGTATGATAGAATTGTCAGAAGTGGTTACTAAGTTAGTAATACTAACAGTTAGTAAAAGTAAATCAAATCTATATGTTATATACGAAATATGCAATGAAATGAAGAGTCATTTTATGACTATTGGTCGGAAACACAATGGTTTGAGAGTATATGAAAACTTCCTCTCAGGATATATCACATCAAATCATTTACTCGTCTCTCCCTTCTATGAGCTCCGATACCCACTCTTGTGCCCACTCTCTGGCAGCAGTCCATAACGGAGCTGATGGTATGGCTGGTACGGCTCAGGTGTGTTTTACAGGCTTTTATGTTCACCATATATTACAATAATGCACTCATGCACTCAAGTCAGTCAATACATACACGTGCCGTCAGCTCACAGCTAATGCATATTCTGAGAGCACACGCGACACGACTTCCAATTAGTTATTACTACCGATTCGTCATATATTACTCACAAATTTTACGCTTATTTTACAATCAATTTTTATATTTAAACTAAAATGAATAAAAAAATTAATAAATAATTTTATTTGGCATGGCTCCTATCAATGTTTTCACTACAAATATTATAGCACTATATTAAAAATTCCTTTCTTTCAATTTAACATACAGTTCCTAATGTCAACAAACAAGTGCTGAGATTTCAAAGGATTCTTTGCTATTCTTTTTAATTATTAGAATTTAATTTAGAAAATGACATTTAACTTAAAAACAATGAGATGTTTTGCAATTTGCAAATAATATGTAAAAATAGTTTATTTGAAAAAAGCTAAACTTGAAAGATATATAGAATTGATGAGTAAAATAGTAAAGTAGAGCACAGAATAGCACAGAATAGTGGCTCAAAGTGTATGGTATGTGATGTGGAGTGGAGGACATGTAGTGTAGTGTAAGACACGCACAACTACTCATCTACTGTACCCATACGGGTGTCGTTCGTTTTGATAGGCGCTCGTAATGGGAGTTATGAACCATCTGCTGATGATATGCTATACAAGTATTTGAGTTAATGGAAAACATTATAGATATTATTAGCACCGGACTATTGAGGTGAGTCGGGTGGAGCTGATTGTGGCCATAGTAACGGTGCTGTAAACCACTTCATAAGTATTTTCACGAGTTTGAGACGATGTCACTAATGTTGGTCTCTATCGTGCTGTCAGTGCCTAATGTTTTAATACTGAATACGTTTTCTATCTGTCCCTCAATACAAATATCTGATTCATTGTTTTTATTATTAAAAACTTAAGTAAATTTATTTAAACATATTTTTTGCTCCTATTGACAAATATTTGACTTCAAATATATTCAAATTCATTCAATTAATATTATATTGATCACAAGATGTTCAAAGGTAAAATTTTATGGGAGTTTTGCTTTGAAAAGTCACACTAATAATGATCTAAAATAAAAATATGCAAACAAATGAATTGTTTGAGAAATAGGCGTATTTTAATTGAGAATAATTAAAAATTGATTGCATACACTCATACACACATAAGTACTGTATGTGATTACAACATTGACAATAATTAGTGCATAGTTTATATGATTTGTGTGAATGGTGTGAAACAAAGAGAGTGTTAGACAACAGGCTCTACCAATAGTCCCAATTTGTATCGGAGTATTGGAGTCAAAGGTTAAATGTTGACGGAAACCACAAAAAGTCGCACAGAGTTCGCAATAATTGAATTGTGTTTTGCGAGGAATAGCTCAGGGATTCAGTGCTCGGATCGACTGAATGGTTACTTCACAGAAGAATGGATTTGTTGGCGAACTGTTTAGTGATGGGATGCATGGGATGTGCACTTTAGGGTTGGCGCGTGCTTTGCGCTGTCGATTTGTCAGAGGGGTGGGGAGGGGGCAAAAAGTGATTTGAGTAAAAGCATTTTAACTTGATTACTTGCCTGTTCAGCACAACACACAACAGCACAATGTATTGATTTTTTTGCAAACGCAATACGGCTTACAGTAAATGTATTTGTATTGAGTGCTAGCTTTTTGTTATACTATACTATACTTCTTGTAGTTTTATGAATATATAATTCACACAATTTATACATCGATTTAAGAATTTATCAGTGTTTTCAATGCTTTCACAACATAAGTGAATGAATTGAATATTATTTGTAAATAACTAAAAGTTGAGACGATCTGAATAAGTGTCCGAAAGGGAAAAGAGATTCAATAATAGCGTTATCTGTAGTGATGATAATGATTCTCAAGAGTCAGTCCCACAGCAGACCAGTTCACAGTTATAGAGGTTTTGGTTGGCTTTATATAAAGCTTTTACTATCGACTAAATGGCATCATTTGAGTGCAGGACATATAAAACACCATTAATGCAGTGAAGTATCATTACAGGCATTACAGACCTACCAGCCCTACCAGCCATACATTTAGCAAACATTGAGTGAATGATACGTTTGGATGCAGTGAAAGAGGAGGAGATGGCATCGATTGATGAGAACAAGTCATTGAGGGGTCATTTAATACAGTTTCACTCAACTATCACTTGGATAGGTCTGCACTCATCAAAGATGTGGCCAAAGAATAAACACATCTAAGGGTAGCAACAAATATGTGGTGCAACAATCATATCATATCAGGGCATAGGGAGGGCTATCATACACGTACAGTGCTGTCACAATCACCAGCATCTCATAATTAATCCCATTTCATGCAATTCCTATTCTCAATATTAAACTCAAATTATTGTCAATATATTGTCTAAAAAGTAAAATAATGAGACATATTATGTGTCGGTGTATTGATTAGAGCTGTTGACTTGCGGTGCAATTCTTTTGATCATAAATGTCTTATTTAGTTGTATTCAAAAATATCTGAACGCATAGATCATAAGCAGAACTGGGATCTAAAGCCGACAATACAACCCATGGATTATTAATCTGATGGATGGAAAGGCAACAATAATAATCCGGAGCTAACCTGCAAACAATACAGATCTGAACCAACACTACAGCACCAGTACTACAGCACCAGTACTACAGTATCTAAAGCCAAAGCCTCTTTTCAGTGTCTGTGCTGTACTGCAGAGCACGAGTCAAAAAGCTGTCTTCTCTTCTCTATTCTCTCTGTCAGTACTCTCTGTTCATGTGTTCTACAGAGCACTCCAACAGAGACTCACTGTTCCTACTGTTCCTGCAGTTCATCTGTTCATTGAAAGCAGTATAGAGTCAAAAGGCTGATCCACTCATACAGTCTCATATAAGGCACTAATACTCATACGGTATACGCGATCATAAAGACTGAACCTATAATACGAACGCATGTCTGCATTAGACGAGCGCTGCCTCTCTATCCTAATCTCGATTAATGCACGCAAATCAGACTCAAAGATGAATCAAAGTGTCTGTCCATCTGCTATTCCTCACTCATAACCATATTAACCACTTTACTGTTTATACTAATTTTTAATTATTAATAACCTACAATGTAAACACTTATAACCGTTTAAACTAAATACAGGTGAGTTTATTCATTAGTAAACTTTGATTTTAGTTTTAAGTTTGAAATGAAATATAACTTAAAGGCCACTAAATATAACATAAAATATCGATAACACATTGACAGCTGTGACCAAATTTGCTTTATTTTGATATAAAACTGGCGGACCCACAGAATATGACGATATGTTGTAAAAGCGCACAAATAGGAGGGTCGCTATAATTAAATTAACTAATGTGTAATTGTGTTTATATTCAATAACATCAAAGTAAACCCAAAAATAAATTTCTCATCATTTGCTCCTTATCCTTGTTTTTCTTTGTTTATTATTTTATGTTTATTCACTAATTTATGTTCTCTTTAATAATCATTACCTATCATATCATTTAAAATCCATTTTACCTTTTAATATGCAATTGCTTTATTTATCTACTGTACTATCATTGTAATATAATATATGATTTATATTTATATTTTAAAAACTAAAGATTAAAGCAAATAGTTTGTTGTTTAGTTATCGTTTAACTTTTATCCAAAATAAACTATTAAATATTGTGCAACATAAAAACATAATTGTATGGCTGTGTAAATTTAGAATAGACACTTTTTTCTTAAAACTTTTTACTTAATAAAATGTGTTCAAACATAGTGGTTATCCAATAAAAACACCGGTAACTAAACATGTTTTCAATAGATATGCAAACAATATCTTTGTTTTTATAGAAAATCATTAAGTGTTATAAAAATATTAGCTGTAATGCAGTGAAGTGTTATTTCGAGAAGCACTTCAATATAATATTCACATAATATGAATGACATTCAATAAAAGTGCATCTGTTTTGCTCTGGTATTCAAACAACTGGGACTTTTACTTTGCATAAAATAGCCTACAAAGGGAAATTTAAATATCTGTGGTATAAGTTCTTACAAGTGCTAGTAATTTCTAAATTTTCATGATTTCATCAATTTAACACTAAAACCTACAGATACAAACTAAACTTTTATGACTCTCTCTCTCTCTCTCTCTCTCTCCCTCTCTCCCTCACTCACTCACTCAAATATATAACATATACAGTATATAAGAAATAAGAACAGGTGTAAATTTAGTTGAGGACTTGCAGAATATAAAATATGGACTAAAATGGTATTTTGTTTATTCCACAATTGAAAGCTTTAATCTATATTTTATCATAAGCTCAACATTACATAATCTTTTGGAAAA